TTGGGAAAAGATTCAGATATAAAATTCAGGGAAATTTCATGGTAATAAATAAAGAAGCAAATTTCCAGGTGAAGAAAAAAATGCTAGACACCATTGATTGATGTGTAAACATTATACAGGTCATCAGAATGACACTGTTTAATACTACAGATACAGAAGTATGTAGAAATCATGGCCACACTTTGGAGTCATAAGACTTGGGTCTTAATCCTGGCTTTGCCACTCACCACCAAGATCTGCCGTCTTCTATGTGAATTACTTCACTCATCAAATAAACACAAATCATACTACTTGCAACCTCAATAAAATGGCACGAGGGGTTAAATATATATAAAATGCTTAGAATAGAACCTAGACACACTAATTGGCTATTAGTATCAAAAGCAAGACACATCTAATTGAAATTATAAAACTTCAAATTAAAGAGGAAAAAAAATACCCATTCAGGTATCTGAGCAGAAATGATACCCAGATGGGAGAATAAGGTTGGCTTCATGCTTTTCCACAGCAATAGTCCATTCCAGAAGACAATAGGAAAATGTCTATAATATACTAAGAATGCATAACCCGAACTGTACAGCAAGTCAAGTGCTGTACCAAGACAAAAGGCTGACATTCTCAAAATACGAAAGAACTTGGAGATGAAGAATTTACAATCCCCTTTCTAAAAAAGTAAAGTAAATAAAAATTTCTAAACTACAGGACAATAAAATCCAACCAACCAAGTGATAAATTAAAAAGTAAACTTAGTAATGGAAAAGTCATGGTAAAAGGACTAGCACCGAGCCACGCTTCCATTTAAATAGAGAACTCATAATGATCAGCAGAGGGAATTATGTTTGCAGAATAAAATGTAACGCTACAACGCTGACAAGGAAAAATAATTTGAAACAAAAATGAGGAGGGATAAGGAAGGAGGAAAAGAGAAAAGAAGATTTCTAATCACAGCATCTTTTCTAGCAGATTTCCTATCCAATTATTTGTGTTGAAATATGTAATTAAAAATTCTTCTGACAATGATCTCATAAAAGTCTTTATGCCATTAGTGGGATGGCATAAGAATTACTGACTCCTATTAATGAAGCAGCATTGATCCCCTAAATATCACCTCAGCTTCTTTTTCTTCTGAAATTTAAATGAGCTTAAATAAAATTTAACTGAGATAAAACTGAAGGAATTTCTAGGCATGGAATCATTGCATTATTTCAATATTAGTTTTCACTTATCTATTTAACCATTTTCAATTTTCTCTGTATCTGTCCAGGAAAAAATGTACAGAAAAAATGTTCATGTATTATTTTTAGGTAGAAGAATTTAGGGCAATTTCTTGCTTTTTTACTTTGGACTTACTTGTGGTTTTTGAGAAGCAATGGATGCTATTCCTGCTGCCCCCAAATCCTTTCTTCCTTCTGGCCACACTCAGGGTTAAACCATGTTTCCAAGCCTCTCTTACAGCTATATGTGACCACTTGACAAGTTTTTTTTCAACAGAAGGCAAACAGAAGAAAGGTTCGACTCAACCTGGCATGATCCTTGATGACTATTTTTGTTCCTTCCTGCCTGATGACCAGAGGCAACTTAGGAAGTTTATATTATAGATGGCAGATGGCAGGCCACATGTCTGTGTGGGGGACAGAGCCACTCGATAGCTACAAACACTCACTTTGGTTGTGTTACATGGGAAAAGAATAAAGGTTGAATTATTTATACTATGTTATTATGTTTCCTTATAGAGCATCCTGTTCTTTTAGTAGAACAAATATAAGCATGCTTTAGTTTATGAGAAAAAAATAAATAGTAAGCCAGTATCTAAAAGTAGAATCAAATCAGTCTAAATATATATATATATATATATTTAAATCCAGGAGAAACTCCAGAGTGCATAAGTCACAGATTCTGCTTGGTTTGGCAATAAAGTAAGAACAAATGCAGTCACCATCATCCTGACTGACAAACTGAAGAGCGGTGTTCACAGGCTGAGAGGGTCAGTAGTAATTAGTACTTAAACCATGCTCTCGTGGATCATCTGCATTAAGTTCACCTTTGAGACAGAGCAGTTTTATTTTAGTAATTTTTGGAAAAATCTAATTTTAATATTTTAGATTCTATAAGACAAAAAATGCATCATCCTCTGAATTCAGAAGGACACTGATGTCATTACCCTACTATCCCACCAAACATTTCACTTCGTTCTAGGGAAGTCTGTTGGATCTAGACCAAGCTGTCTTCTCTAAACACTCTTTCATAGCAATTCGAAAATTAGTTTTGACACAGTACCCTTTTTATATAGATGAACTCCTTTGTCCAGAACACAGTCCAGGAAACATCACAAATATACAGCTCATTGGGGTTTTGACATGTAATAAGAGATTATGAGCCAGGTGCGGTGGCACACACCTGTAATTCCAGTGGCTCAGGAGGCTGAGAGTTCAAAGCCAGCCTCAACAAAGGCAAGGCACTAAGCAACTCTCTGAATAAAATACAAAATAGGGTTGGGAATGTGGCTCAGTGGTTAAGTACCCTTGGATTCAGTCCCCGGTCCCTCCCTATAAAGAGAGAGAGAGAGAGAGAGAGAGAGAGAGAGAGAGAGATTATGAATCTATACTAGTGTAGGGCTATTGAAAGCTACAGCCATCACTTGGTTCACTTGGGTACTCAACCTGGAAGCTAAATATTTATTTTAAAAAATTATCTGAAAGCAGGAAGGGGCATCGAGAGACCATTTGGCCCAGGTTCTTCTGAGTTAGGTATCAAACATTTTTCTTAAACTTTTTAATTACACTGAAAGATGACAGGTTTCCAGATTTTATTTATCACCACTGAGATAAATGGTTTACAAATAATCACTGAGGAGGGGAGCGTGGGAGGTTAAAATAAAAACTCTTGTTTAGTTCTCTTCACACATCTGCCCCTGGAAAATCTTTTTTGAACTCCAAAAATTATTTTTAATTTTATGAAAGAACGAATTGGAATATGAAAGGCATGAGAACACTAAATGTCTGGCTCACATCCTCTCGACAAATAAAAAATCTTTCAACAATGTGTTTACAAGTTAGTAGCCAGACATAAACACTAATTTTTCAGTCCAGAGATATCCAATTTCCATTATAATGCATTTAAATTTCTGCAAACTAGAATGTTTTTAGAAACCATGCCAGTCAAAGATGTCTTAAACAATGTTGCTTGATTCTTTTCCTAAGTTAGCTTAATACCAATTAGCTGTTATTTCTAGTGAGTACTCAGCCCCCTCAAAGATAACCATTCCACTCTCTTTATTCTTGACTATCTTATTAATTTTGACATTTTTCCTTTTATACATTAAGGTAGCAATAGCAGCACTATCAAG